CCGCCATATTAGCCATATATCGTCCTTCCTCCTTCGTCGTTGAATTCTCACCGGTTCAAATACGCGTTCGCGACAATTGTATGTGCAATATTCGTTTCCGACAGTGACGGGGGATTATTTGTGCGTGAGATAACGCGTGCGGAAGCTGGATTTACTTGCGATCTTGTCGACGAATGTTCTCGATCGCCTCTTTCGTGCTTTTCGTTGCGATCGAGCACAGTGGAATCGCGAAGTTAGCTGCGTTCGCAGAATATCGGAGGCTAAATGAGGTGAGAATCTTGCGTTTCTTTTCGACATGGCTCGTCGAAATTATATGAATATATATTGAGTCTCATGTGTATGTGTAATGTGCTTCAGGTGCAGTAAAGGGAGAAAACGAAAGCGGAGGATGCCTAGCCAGTGGATTTTCAAAGTGTCCAGCAACGGCCGCGAATGAACTTTCCGTCTTCACTGTTCGGACACAAAGGCAAGACTGAGTAATTGGATCGGATTTGTCAGGTACGCATTTCATTTTTGACTCGTTATGTGCCGTCTTGGCATTCGAGATAGTTTAGGCAGTAGGTCGTACAGTCCATCGAAAATTCCGCGCGTTGTGACACTGATTTACGGGGTTCACGCGAATCGTAGCATGGCTGCTCGCGCAAACGTATAGTGTCTTTCGTCGTCACTTTCGTGAATTCAAACGCGAGAGTGCGACAAGTGTCTGCGATGCTTGTTCGGGACAACGACGCGGAATTGATCGTGCGTAAAACAATGCGTGTGGCAGTTGAATTTTCTCACGATCTTGTCGATGAACGTTCTCGATTGTTTTCGAGCTCCGCGGGTAATTATTTATTAGAATATCATACCCTACCTTTTACATTGTTATTACATTGTTATACATCGGTGGAACGTATTTGATATTATTTTATTATTTCAAATATTCGTATTAATTATAATGTGATGTCAAAAGGCAAGAAGTAAAAAGAGGTTTTTACTAGCGTGGTTTCTTTTACATAGTCTTTATTCAATCAATAATTTTTATTCAATTATTCGTACTTATTGTCGCAGTATATTTCGCATTTTGCTTTTGGCATCTCTGGCACTTGATCAATACTATTGAGCAATATATTACTTGCATGGTTCTTTTAAACGTAATTAATAATTATTCGCGTGGGCTATTTTTGATATTACAACATTACGTCTCAATTTTTATTACTTCTTTTAATGATTCATATTTAAATAAAAAGATTAATAGAATATTCTATATATGTTCCTTAAAGATACATGCACATTTCCTTAATATCGTAAAATAATTTGTGTTAATTACAGCTTTGGCTAAAAGTACTAAATATCTCGTTAATCATTACTTAATTTTTCAGTTAATAAATTAAATTAAGACACTACTGTAACTGCAAATTATCTATGTTTCAGAAATTCTTTAAACTTACGTATAATGCCGATCATGGCTC